CCCTATCTGATTCACCAGTGACTGCGTGGAGACCTACCGGGATCATGGCCACGTGGACGGCCGCTACAGCTGGTCGTGGAGGCTGTATCGCCAGTGCCTGTTGGCAGACTACAACTAGTAGATGGGAAAAGCTGCGTCGCATGGCGTCCTGCAGGTTGCCTCGCCGGTCGATGAAGGATGTACGGTTGTGGCCTCACGACGCCGCGACGAGCCGCCTGAACCAATCGATCTGTGCGTCGACGTGTCGACCACAGGCACGTACGGTACCAATAGATGTGTCGATGTTTTTATCACCGACGAGTAAATTTGTATTTGCGCGTCCGACTCGGACGGTGTGCTCCGAGGACACAAGGGTTTATACTGGTTCGAGCGGAACGTTTCTACGTCTAGTTTGCTGCTGCTCGTGTTACCAGCACTTGGTTTGCAGTATGGGTTATAAACAGGCGAGAGAGGGAAAGAATCCCAAGTCTCTGGTGAAAAGAGTGAATGGGTGTTGAGAACTCGATCGCTGCTCTTATGTTTTTATTTCGTGGTTCGGTCTCGTGCGGATCTGGATCCCCCATCATGGGGTGCCCTGCTTTCCTTTTTATAGGCGAAGAGAAAGCACGGGTTATAACGGAGAAAAAGGAGAAGAACAAGATAGAAGAAGGCTTTCAGTATCGCCGGGTCATTCTTTTTCTTCATGCGGGTCCCGCCGATCCTGTAGATGTCAACAGGGACGGCTTCATGTCGTGGCCCTGTTCGTCACTGGCGTCATGTGCCGGTCATGACATTCCATTTCATTTCGGCGGACGTCGTGGTGAACTGACGCGCTTGTCAGCGTTCGTACGAGGGTTAGGCAGAACAACACCGGCACGCTCGACGCTGTTCTTGATGTGAATCCTTAGGTATGGCTCGTTATGGCCACGGGTTACATCGAGACGTGCTAGACTCTTCCGTGGTGTCAGAGTTTTGACCCAGGCCCATATGCTTGGACCTGGAGTGGTTGGCGACGGTATGGGTCCCCATCGGACAAGACGGAAACCACGCCCTTGGGGTCGGGTGAGACGGAGCCTGCACCCAAGGGGGCGGGAGAGGCGGAGCCCGCGGCCTTGGGGTCAGGCGAGACGGAGCCCGTACCCAAGGGGTCGGGCGAGACGGAGCCCGTACCCAATGGGTCGGGCGAGGCGGAAACCTCGTCCTTGGGGTCGAGCGAGACGGAGCCTGCAACCTTTGGTGAGACCCCCACGGCCTTGGGGTTGGACGAGACGGAGCCCGCACCCAAGAGGTCGGGCGAAACGGAACCCACACCCAAGGGGTCGGGTGAGGTGGAGCCCGCGGCCTTGGGATCGGACGAGACCTTTTAATACGTCTCGCTTTATCCGGAAAAGTCATCGTGGACGCTGACCTCCTTGCTTTGGGTATCACTAGTATCGATAACCGACAATACGCTTCTTCCTTGTTCAGCTATCGATGCTAGTGTTCATGGATTCATTCCGATCCAAAGTCAGTACGTGCTCTTGTAAGTTTTCAGCTACTGATGCTGTATCCATGGATCTATCTATTCCGATCAAGTAAGTATGTGCTATTATAAGTTTTGATTGATGGAGGTTGTACGTAGCCTTAAACTCGGGTCCAAGATGTGATGCACATAAGCGCAATTGTGCCGTTTCTCCTGCACAACGACCTGCTGTGTCATTTTGTCTCGACTCCAAACTGCTGCCGGTTCAAGTATGGTTGAATATGCCGAACGGCTGGACCCAAGCCCTGCTAGTGCCGAAGACAAGGGGGGCTAGAGCGGCTTGATCCCCCTAACTTTGTTGTTTTTCCATTGCATCTCTTCATGACTTTGGTAATTTAACATATAATTAAAGAGTAAATGGTGGATTCTTCTATTGATATCTGCACCTCCTAAATTTAAGCTCTAGCTTTGCCACTAAGCGCTGCTTCATCCGGGCCTCGTAGAACCCTTCATCCTGCTCGCCCCAACAACTGTTACATCGGTCCAGAATGGCAGTAGCCAGCAAGATAGCGTGGGTAGGTTTGCGTCCGCCAGCTAGCAAGTCACAAGTGAGAGGCTCATTTGTTGAGCTCCGGCTTCATTCAAAATAGCTTCAACTGTGGTTTCTCAGTTTTTTTAGGCTCCATGCTTCCCTGACTAAAAACCTTTTAATAAAACAACTTCTCCTGGATTTTGGAAATGTGGAAATATCCATAGTATCTTTCTTTTTCTCTTTTTTCCTTCCTTTATTTTCATCCCTTATTTATCTTTTATTCCTCTTCTTTCTTTACCTTATCCGGTTTCCCCACTCTGTGTCGCCACCGTCCCCAACACAATCTGCCACCACTGGTGCCCTCAGTCTTACGACGTCATGTCGACACCGCGCCGAAGACTAACGGTGCGGCACAAGATCCGTCAAGCCACATCACCTCCGACGCTCCTCCGCCAAAGGAGCATGTGAAACTGCCATTGCCCGTTCGTTCGCTCCAGCGCCAAGGAAGAAGCCAGTGGTGGGCATCCACGTCCAACGCGTGCGTGACTCGTCAGGGAGCGAGTGGAAGCTGGGTTTTTCAGCTCCACCTTTCGCCCACCCCCTTGTGAGAGCGTATTTTTCGTGACTTCACATGTGAAGCTACGCCTGTTTGATTGTGAACATATTGGAGCGGCTCTAGGAGCCTTGTTCTTCCTCGCTAACTCCAATTCTCCTACCCCTCTAAGCTAACACATTCCACGGCCACTGCTCAAATCGCCGTTTAGTATTGACCCTAGTCCATTGTGATGTATTCCACAACAATTTCACACAAACCTCATGATCCCTAGGACTCTAGGAGGCAGAAACGTTTTACCTTGCATGGACTGCAAGCGCCTCAGGAAGGGAGAAGGGGACCGTGAGATTTAGGGTGCGTTTGGTTACCTGCTTCCGAGCGGCCCTGGCTCGCGATCACGATTGATGGTCAGACGAGCGCCAGAACCTAGCCGGTGACACGCCTACCGAGAGTCCGAGAGATCCTAGGAAACAAATCTCGTTTTTGTTTCTTCGGAGCTTGGTTCCCGTGGGCGCAATGGCGCACACCTGTGGCTCGGTTGGGAGACAGCGAGCACAAATGCGAGCAAGCGAACGGACAACCAAACAACTGACGTGTTGGTCTAGTATCTACTCATTAAGTCATCAAACAGATAAAAATGTGTTGCATACATCAGGCATGTCTCACCTCCAGGTCCTTAGCGTGGTCCGTAGGAACGAGACAAGCTCTCCTGGTCACCGAATCAATCAGCTCTTACGCGAGCCGGGAGCCGGAGGCCGCGGCAAAGGCTGGGAAGCGGCGGCCTCCTCTACAGTGCGTAGCACGTTGCGTGGTGCGCCATTGGATGGGATGGAGACTGGGAGCAGGGGCGGGGGCAGCGGATCCGTCGTCGCGAGAGATCGCCGAGTCCCACCACGTGTGTCTTGAGCCCTCGCGGCGCAAGCTCCGCGCAGCTCGCGTCTGAAGCCAAACGCAAGGTTCCATCCGCAACGGGCTAGCGACCCTCTGCTCGCGCGCTAGCGCCGTTGGGTACGGGAGTGCCGGAGTGCCCAGTGGCGAGTGGCGAGTGGCGACCGCGACCGGGTGTTGCCGCGCGTTGCTCGCCCCGCTTGGCCTCCTCCCGTGGCGCGCACGTAGCGCCTGCCGACAACAAGTGGCGAAGTGCCGTGAGCATGACTAGTCTCAGTCTGCTCTGCCTTCTCGTATCGTCGTCATCATAGCTCGCACGTTTAGGTGAACTGAACTAGTCAACACTTCAACTAAAAGGTTTAGGTTTACGTGGACGAGTAAGGGCCTGTTTAGATGCCGATTTTTTTTGGCAAAATAATACTGTAGCAGTTTTCGTTGTTATTTGACAATTAGTGTATAATCATAGTCTAATTAGGCTTAAAAGATTCGTCTCGTGGATTTCGTCTAAACTGTGTAATTAGTTTTATTTTTTATTTATATTTAATACTTTATGCATGCGTTCAAAGATTCGATGTGACGAAAAATCTTAAAAAATTTGGCATTTTAGGAGGGAACTAAACGGTACCTAAATTTATGTGACACCAAACTGTCATTTCGGTTCGGCAGATTACACATTTTACTACCAACAGTCCAACAAGGACCCGACAAAGAAAATAGTCACTGTCATTTTGAGTAGTCAGAGCATGGTAGAGCAGGGGTAACAGTAGATGAATTATGCTGCTACAGCACAAAGCATCGGTTTGGAGCTTTCCGGGAGCTCCAACTAACCTGAAAGCTGCCACTCGGAAAAAAAGAGGCGCCATTGCAATTGCCATTATGTGCAGAGCACGAGTACTTCAAACCTTCAACGGCAACTTTGCCCACCGTATTCCGTATCGCACTCAAACGCCGTACGAACAACGCCCGTTCGGGAAGAAAGAAGCCAGAGGAATTTTTTGCCTCGCCTATTCGCCGTTGCGCGATAGGGTATGGGCGTATGGCGAACACCGAGCAGCAGCTTTCTAAAACTTTGGCAGCACTCTTAACCAGGCAACAGCAGGTCACCAACCAGGCAATTTCACACAAAATGCACACGCATACTACAATCGTAACGGTCAATTTCACACAAAGATACTAGTATGCAACTAGCTTGTTTCAAACTTCACGCAACTACGGGACAGATACAGTTCAATTAAATCTCAACTTATGCTTAACTAGTCGCATCCTTTCACCCACAAAAGTATTTATCAAACACACCTCAGATCTGCCTCCAGCGCACGGAATAGCTTAGGAACGAAAAAGGCAAAGATGTAAGGAATAAACAGCTGTTCTAAATCCTACGAAAACAGCCACCATTAGTGGCGTTGATTAGCAAAAATGCTTGAAAAACTGCAAATGGCCACATTCATATTTAGCAACAAATTAACACTAGCTACCAATTAAGATTAACAAATACACACACGGCTCGTTTCTTATCTCTCAAGTTTGGACTAAGAAGAAGAAAGCATCTAATAGTTATCAGGTCGTGACCTCTCGGATCTGGGCCGTCAGACGTCCGGCGGCGAGCAGTCGGGGCATCGGACGAGGCCGTTCTCGTTACAGCCGGCGCAGGTGCGGAAGCCGCCGCCGCCCTTGACGCTGTACCGCTTGTGGCTGCCGTTGCAGCTGCCGCAGAGCACGTACCGCTCGCCGCCGCACCGGCCGCAGGCGGCGAGGGAGGCGGCGACGGCGCCGGCCACGACACGGCGGAGCTCACCGGCCTCGTGGAGGCGCCGGACCTCGTCGGCGCCGCCGAGGTGGCGACCCCCGACGAAGACCTGGGGCAGCGTGACGCGCCGCGGGGACGCGAGCCGCGGGAGGAGCGCCGCGAGCTCCTGGAGGTAGCGCGGGTCCATGGCGAGGTCGCGCTCGTCGACGGCGACGCGGAGCCCGCGAAGGATGGCGCGCACGGCGCGGCAGTCCTCGTACGTGTTGCGGACCACGTGGAGCGAGGTGAAGTAGAGCACGACGCGGCGGTCGGCCTCGGAGGCGGCGCCACCGCCGCCGCCGGCGGACGGCGGCGCCTGGAGGGTGCGGAGCGCGCGGAGGGCTGAGGCGGCGACGCGGACCCGGTGGAAGACGCGGACGGAGGAGGACGGGGAGGGGGAGCAGGGCGCGGCGGGCGGTGGGGAGGGCGTGGCGACGTCGGACAGGAGCAGCGCCTGGAGGTCCTTGAGTGAGGGAGAGGAGAAGGACAGGCGCGGTGAGGAGGCGGCGATGAGCGCGGTGGAGGAGGAAGAGGTGGAGGTGGCGGAGGAGGGGGAGGGGGAGGCGGATGGAGGGCGCGTCTTCGCCCAGGGTAACCACATGGGGTGGGGGGGATGGGCGAGCGGAGGCCGGAGATGGGGACGAGGAGGCGGGGATTTGTTCGTTTTTCAGATTGGGGGCTGACGGGTTCCTGTTTTGTGGCCCTCGATTTTTTTTTTTTTTTTTTTTTTTTTTGGCATGCTCTGGGTTCCGGTTTGCGCTTGGATATCACTTGGAAAGGATATATCAGGTTAGGTTTGGAATTTGAAGGGGAGAGCATTCTTCCTTTTTAGCCCTTTCAGCTTTTTTTATTTTCCATTCACCTGGAAAGGATGTTGAAGGTTTTTCCCTAGTACGTATGCAAGCTGGTTAAGTCGCTAAGGATACTTCTTCACCTAAGTACACATGAGGCATTGGGTACCCTATATCTTGAGTTGACTTTTGCCTCAACTTGTTGAATTGCTTGGCCTAGAGGATCCTTAAGGTACACTACTACTAGAATATTTATCCGTGGTTTCAGGCGTTTTGGGTTTTCATGGCAAGAAACCGACCGCCGCCAATAAAGGCCACCATAAATCGTGGCTTTCATGGCAATGACAGCTTTGCCCGCCGCGATTAATCGATTTATCATGGCGGCCACATAAGAACGCCTTGCATGACAAATCGCTCAGAAAAAAAAAAAAAAAAAAAAGCCCACACGGGCTTGGATCCGCCGATGAACCTAGATCCGCCGCCGCCATCGATTGGATCCGCTGAAGCTCAACCCGCCGCATCACGGGAGGGGAGAGGAAGGGTCGGGGGGCGCCACGCCCACCAGATCCGCCGCCGCCGTCGATTGGGTGGGAGGGAGACGACGCCATTGTGGATCCATGACGTCCGCTGGCGGGTTGGGCCGCCCCCGTGGATCCGTCTTGCGTCGCGGTGGGTTGGGCCGCCCTCCGTGGATCCGTCTGCTGTCGTGGCGGGGTGGCGCGCCGCCGCTGTGGATCCGCTGGCCGGACGAACACGCCACGCTTGCCTGCTGCCGTGTCTTGAGGAGCACCGTCATGCATTGCCGCCACCGTCGTCGGGGATCGCAAAGGGTGCAGTGTGAGAGGACAAGATCCACCATTGATCTCGAGAGAGAAGAAAGAGGGCTCCACACCTTGCGCTGGATCTGGCCGCCGTGCCGGGCCTCCATGCCGCTGTCGGGTCCTCCATGCTTGGCGTGGGAGGAGGAGGAAGGGCGCCGTCGGGGGCCTCCACCGCCGCCGCGTCGGCGGACCGACACAGGGAGCGCGTGGGGAGGAAGAGAGGGAGGATGAAGAGAGCGGAGAGGAAGAGAGGCCGACTGCGCGACAGGAACACAGTGGGGAGGCTGACTGCGCCCCTCGAAACCCTAAGTATACCTATATATACGTGTAGACGAATATCGGGCCAGCTTGGGCCTGATGGGCCTAGGCCTTTTCCGTGGCGGGCTTTTAATGTTGTCCGCCACGGTAAATAGGGTATTTACCGTGGCGGGCATCTTAATATGTCTGTCACGGTAAATCGATTTACCGTGACGGGCAAAAGTGCCCGCTGCGGTAAATAAAAAATGCCCGCCGCGGTAAATCGTGGGATTTACCGCAGCGGGCAAAAATAGGTGCCCGCCACGGAGTGCAAAAGTGCAACGCTGCGCATATTCGTTTGTGTAGTAGTGGTATATGCAACATTGTATAAAGAAACATATTTTCTCCTTTTAAGGCCCCGTTCGCTGGTCTGAAACTGGCTGGTTGTTGTGAGAGAGAAACACTGTAGCGGCTGGTTGATGAACAGTGATTTGTGAGGAGGAGCAGCCGGACGGCGCCTAAGTTTGGCAAGAGTAGAGTACCGTGGTAAAGGACATCAAGGACAGGACTAACCTCTCAGGTCCCTAAGTCTTTCAGTCTAGCTGGACCTTTGTTTGTGGATGTTATACTATATTTAGACCTATTAGTGTAAATAGTTCAACATATTTGGATTAGCTAACACTGTTAAATGAGCTGCTAATGTTGAGCTGATAAAAAAACGACAACCCAAGTACCCAACTAGCAATAATCCATTAGTTGTCTCTAACCAGCTAATAGCAGCTAATAAGGGCATTTACGTCAATAACCAATAACCCACCTTGCTATAACCTGTTTTTCTCTATTAGCCATATTTTTATTAGCTACTTTTATTTATCTATTAGCTAGCTAGTACACTATTAGTAAGAACTGTGTTTGATTCAGGGTGGTTGGATAATTGGTTGGAGCCTTGGAGGTATAAATGGACTATTAACACCCCTCTACCAGCTAATGAACTAACCGTTGGCAGCCCCCTTAGCTAATAGTTAGCAACTCTATTACCGGGTATGTTTTAGATCATCACATGCCAATTCCAGGTGCTAATTATTATTACTAATGATTCCAAACATACTCTTATCATTAGTTGCGGTATTTGGTGAATTTGAAATGGTCATATGCTCCACATTACAAAGGTGTTGTTCAATTCAAGCTTGCAAGGGTTCCTTTATTCATGTATTTGCATTGGTTAATAATGATGCAAATAAGAATACAATCTCAAAATTTGGAGTGGCTAGATCACTTGTACAATTGTGTTTCATTTTTTAAAAAATAAATATATAACAAATATGAACCCCCCCTATCCCTCAAAGGGTAAGGACCAACCCAAAGCTGGCATAGCTTGAAGGCTTGGAGCCTAATAAATTACCTCCTCCATCCTAGAAAGGTACAATTCTAGCATAGTGTTAAGTTAAACTCTCTTTAAGTTTGATCAAATTTATGTAAAAGGTAACAATATTTATTATAAGTAAATACTATCATTAGATTCACCATGTAATATGTTTCCATAGTATATTTATTTACAATTATAAATATTGAAATTATTTTTCTATAAACTTAGACAAAAGTAAGATAGTTTGACTTGGACTAAAACTAGAATTGTATCATTTCTGGGGTAGAGGTAGTACTGAGGTAAACGCTTGGATCGATTTGCTTTTCCTCTCTTAATTAATTTGGGTTCTGCTACCCTTTTCTTTCAATCTTGAATTCGTTACTTGAGCACCAAACATGTGTCGCCTAATATAAAACTAAATAAATCATCAAGTATGTTAAAAAAATGCGTTGCTTCATTAATCATCACATAGACTGCGTAACTTGATATAGGATGGAAAAACAGGTGCTTTTATAAATAAACTTTGTACACATCGGCCGGGATTTGCAGAAGCTGGAGGAGAGAATTTACACGAAAAGAGTTGATCAATGATGCCTAAAATAATATAAACAATAGAGTTGCGTCACCTAAGCATGACTGCGATCTAGAGTATTTGTCAAACATCATAACCAAAAGATGATGGGCCCTGTCACACCCCTAACATAGCATGTGCAAGTTTCATGGAAATGGAGTGCTCGCAAGGTGAATACGGGAGAGCGGGAGAGGGAGAGGAGGGGTCCGCCGGCTCTCAGCCATTGGACGCGGTCTTCTCTCTCTTGTTCTATCTATCCGGAGAGTACTGATGAGTGTACCCCTGCTGTTTCTTAATGGCAAACATGTGAGCTTAGCTTCGTCCTCCCCTCCGTCCATTCAATATTTCAGTCCAAACCCCACCACACACTGTCCCGGTGCTCGTGGGTCACCTTATCTGTGTGATTGGCGTTAGACTGTCTCCAACGATGAGAACCTAAACACAACACATATTCTCTAGTTTGGGTCATGCACAGGAAAAATGGTCCGCACCTAAAATTTAGCTTCTCCAACAGCCAACACAAATCACTCCCCCGTCATCTACAGTACACCGGTAAAAATATCTCCTCCTCTCTCTCTCTCTCCCTCGTCACTTCTCTTCCCCTCCCTCCCTCTTCCTCCCGATCTCTCCAAACGACAGAGATGGCGGACGAAGCGCACCTCGGCGGTGCCCGGACCTCGGCACGGCGACGGCCGCCCTCGTTGGTGGCACGCCGGTGGCCCCCTCCTCCTCCGCCTCCTTCCTCCCTCTCTCGGTCTCTCCCCTTGCCCTCTCTCTCTCTCTCTCCTCGCTCCTCGCCTCGGAGCCGCCGATCCCAGTGCTGCAGACGCTGCTGTGACCTACCCCCGCACGTCGGGTGGCCCTGGCGAGACGACAACGCCCGGCCTAGGGTTTCACGTCTCCATCGCTCGGCTGTCCCGGATCGACCGGGGCCCGGCGTGGGTGATGCCGTGCCTGCCACCCATGTCGAGGGGCGGACTGCTTCCCGATCTCTGTCGTTGCGGGGCGGACTGCTTCCCGATCTCTGCCGTTCTTGGATCGCTTCCCGATCTCTGCTGTCATGGGCGGACTCTTCAGTCAGCGCTTCCTCTTCCTTCCCTCCCATGAAAGCAGGTTGTGCGGCTTGGCGAGAGATATGGGTCGAGGAGAGAAAATGACGCTTATTTGCGTTCCCACTCCACGCCGACGCAAATTGGGTCTCTGCTTTGCCTACTCCGTTGGACCGTGCTTTTTCCACCCAAACCGACGTGAACGACGCATATTTATGTTTGGGTGCCATAATAGCTAGTCTGTTGGAGACGGTCTTAAAGCCTGGAAGTGTGTGTGTGTGGATCAAAACGTAATCACAAGACTAAGGTTGTTATCAGTGATGAGTGTTGTAAAAGTCTTGTCAGCTCCATTTCTGAAGACGTGTCTTGATAGCTTGCATATCATTAGTAGTTCTTGTATACAATGATGAAAAGGCTCCAAATTTGTAAATGTTACCCTGTAGCCTCTTCTTTTTAGGGTTACATTGTAGCTGCAGCACCTTTCTACGAGCAGTATGACATGCTTTGGTTGCTCACGCAGGGTAGAGGGTACTCGACTCAATGGGTAGGACAGTAACTCATGACATGTTGGCTTTTTTCCCAGTAAGCATACGAGTCTGATTGGCTTGGCGCTGTGGAATTATTGCGTGTCTCCGCCACCGCGTACTGTACGTGCAATAGGACAATCAACCGCGCAACAGGGGCATGCGTGCTGGTGCACAGGCAGTTTTCCAGATCGAATTCGTTGCCTGTTTTGTCTGGATCTACTACAGCTCCCCTGAACCGC